ATTTATGCACATTGATAAGGTGTCCTTGAGCCTTTTCTGCTCGAGGCTGAACAGTCCCGGCTCTCTCAGTGTCTCCTTGCATGAGAGATATTCCAATCCCTTCATCGTTTTTGTGACCCTTCACTGGACTCCCTCCAGTATATCTGTGTCTTTTTTGTACTGGGGAGTCTGGAGTGGGACCTAGCACTCCAGAAGTGGTCTCACCAGTGTTAAGTAGAGGGTCACTTCCCTTGACTTGCTGAAATTAGTCTTCTTAATGCAGCGCAGGTTGCTGTTGGCCTTCTTTGCCATGCGAGCATGTTGCTGGCTCATGTCCAGCTTCTTGTCCACCAAGACTACTGGGTGTTTCCTCTTATAGTTGATACACTTCTACACTTCCACTGAGAAGGTCCTGTTGTTGCCCTTCACATCCCTCACCAAATTCAATTCCAGGTAGTCTTTTACTTTCCTGACCCTATCCCTGCACAAGCGGACAAAATTCCCATATGCTTGCTTCATCACTTGACTCTGCTTCCACCTGTTCTATGCTTCCTTTTTCTGTTTGAGTTTAGTCAGGAGATCCTTGTTCATCCAAGCAGGCCTCCCACCACCTTTGCTTGACTTCCTGCATGTCAGGATGGACCATTCTTGAGCTTAGAGTAGATCTTTGAAAATCAAACAGCTCTCCTCAGCTTCTCATCTTTCTAAGACCATGTCCAGTGAGATTCTTCCAAGCAGATCCCTGAAGAGGCCAAAGTCTGCTCTCCTGAAGCCCGGGGCTGTGATCATACTTCTTGCCTTTTTCCCTCCTCTCAGGATCCTGAACTCCATCATCTTATGGTCGCTGCAACCAAGGCAACCCCCGACCTTCGCATCCCGAACCAGTTCTTTCCTGTTTGCAAGTCTGAGGACCAGCAGAGCCCCTCTCCTCCTCTGCGCCTTGATCACTAGTGTCACAAAGTTATCATCAGTGCAACAGAGAAACCTCCTGAACTGCTTATGTCATGCTGTGTTGTTCCTCCAACAGATATCAAGCTGGTTAAAGTCCCTGTGAGGACTACGGCCTGCAAACATGAGGCTGCCTCCAGTTCTCTGAAGAAAGCTTCATCTACTTCTTCTGCTTGATCAAGCAGTCAGTAGCAGACAGCAACCACAACATTGCCCAAGTTGGTTTGTCAACTAATCCTGACCCATAAGCTCTTAGGTGGCTCATCATCCAGTCTTGGCTGAGCTCCATATATTCCCATTGCTGTCTCATGTAAAGGGCTTTTAGACAGTCACAATGAAGACTGCAAGCTGATACTCTGCTAGGAGTTTGTGTTAATTTTTCCCATGGCAAATGGTCCTGGAAATATAAGGGATTCAGGAGAGCTGGTTAATTTTCAAGGATCATCTCCTCCAAGTTTGTGCTAATTTATCTAGTTGAGGCTAGTGATATCAGTAGCTTCTTTTTTGTGAAAAATAACATTCAGAGCCATTCCTCAGGTTTAAATTTTTATATGTTTGGGCATTGCCATAGAAGATGCTCAAGATTTAGGCTAACTTCTCAAGTATTGCAGTCACAGACTTTCTCTGCCTGTTTCCATTCCCATCCTGTTCCCTATAGCATCTTCAGGAGATGATTAAGACCAGCTCCATCCTGCTGCAAAAGAATCCCATTTACTGCCGGCTCATTTATCTTTCTGATATTACTAGACTGTCCCTGTTACAGAGTCCCAAGACTTCTTTGTTATGTCTCTTCAAGGGCAAAAAAAGCTAATTCCTCCAATGTATATAGGGGCTGACAAGCTTTCAGCTGTCTTTGATGCTTTCTTTCATTCTGACAAAAAATTCTCATTAGTGGGGAAAAAATGTATTGATTTCTTATCCAGCTTAATCACTCAGAGTTCAATGGATCACAGATAGGACTTGACTATACAGAATTTTAAAAACACAAAGAGGAAGGGGCTGTTTGTTTTTAGGTTTAGAAGACTGTTGCACTTGGGCTTCTCTCATGCTAAATTTGCTGTACTTACTCTGAAACTGCTCTACTTGTCTATTCAGCTAGTCTTAACATTTATTCTTCACATAGCATCTCTTTCCTCTGTAGTTGGTATTGTGAATTTAGGGAAATGGGAGTTATCTTTCTTTCCTCCTTCTTTCTTCTGCCTTCTCTTTACAGATCTTCTCCCTACCACAGCTTTGCATAATTATCCTATCTCCTAAAATCTGCAAAAAATAATGTATTTTGTATTGCTTTTACTTTTTATCTCTTATTCCTGATTTTTTCCTGATATTTTTCATTTTATATAAAACCTGCCATTCCTTTCAGTGCAGAATGTCTTGAGCGTCATCTATTTCTCTGTTTTACATAGTTCTCTTTTTCTTTCTCTCCCTTTCACTTCCTTTATTACCTTCCTCCAGTTTCTCCTTTTCTATTTATCACCTTATATTTTTTAAATCCCTATTTTTATGCCTCACGTAACTGTCTTTCTTCCCTGAAATTGTTCTCTGTTCTTTGGGGAGTTGTTTTTGCACTATTAATCCTTTTTTTGCGGTTGCATTCATGATTAGATCAGACAGAATTTAAAATGACAAGGGCAAGTCATAGACATCTAAAAGGTTCTGCATGCTCAGAGATAGCACTCTGTCCCTACCACTTCACTTCTAAGGCCTTTCATGTCACTCTGTATATATTTTTTATTTCTTTATGCCTTTACCAACACAAATTTTCCTAATTCTGCACTTTTTTTTCCTTGTCCTTCTTTATGCTTTCTCCATTTGTCACTTGCGTCTTTCTTTTCTGTGCACTTCCCTCTTATTGCCATGTATTTTTCAAAAGATGGCTACTTAGCTCTACTTAGGTTTCCTTTTCATAAGTTCTCTCCCTCTCCATTTCACTTTTTTTTTTTGTTAGAGTAGGGAGTGAGACTTTTTCTGTATGTAAAAGAATCAGCCTTGAAAGGGCTGGAAACACTTTGAAAAGCCTTGCCTGGAGACAGGGATTGCTACTAGAGTATAAAAGAAAGACAGTGCCTCTGGTGGATCCTCTACATCATGACATGACCCAAATGACAGCTATGGATAAGGACTAACCACTCTCCATTGCTAATACGCATGTGTGCTGGTTTATTTTTTCTACCCAGTTTAAAATAAAAACCTTCTTGTAACAAACTTAACAGCTGACCAGAGTCACTGGTAGGAGAAGGTAAGCAAGACCTTTCCAAAACCTGAGTTAGCACTGGTGAGGAACCAGTCTGGCTGACCCTCCTTCTGCGCTGGCTGAGCGATACCCCTCCAGCGCAGCGGCTTCTCTGCACTGTGTCTGGGTCCACCCACCGTGCAACTACAAAGCTCACACAGACACCTAGGCAGAAGGAGCCTATGAAACTCTAAAATGTAAGAGTAGAACTTCTACCGTTGGACTCCAGCTATTGCCAGAAAGGCACATTTTGATGTATTTTTGTAAATTTTCATGATGACTTCTAACTTTTTAAAAGTGACACGGGTTACAGTTCACACACACACACGCAGACACAGACATGTAAAGCCAATAGAGCTCTCAAAAAAAATACCTTTTTATGATCAGAAATAAATATTTACAGTTTTAGAAATATATTATTTAGCTATCAGATCATAAATTTTGGGGTCCCTTACAATATTAGGCTTCTGGTGAAATCATCAGAAGTGATGGGTGAGTAAATCTCAAGATATATGCTATTTAAAAACATGTACTATTATAAATACTATTAAAATATCATAAATCATAATTGTAAATTATCATATCTGGTTGGATGGTTACATAGTTTGAGAAGTATACAGGTTTTGATGATATTTATGATTTATTTAACAGACCATAACTGCTCTGAAGAAGGCATTATAATCAGTTTTGGATATCTGAAAGTAGACACTTATTGAAAAGCATATTTCTTCACATGGCGTATGGAGACATTAAGTTCTATAATATAAATCCTTTGTACTGTCCTTACTTAGCAAATCACTGGAGCCATCCTCTGCTCTGAGTCAGTGTCTATGCTACGCATATATGTTGTCATAGGAACTACTTCTATAATTGCAGAGGAGAAAAACTGCCATGAAGCACCAGAATCCAAGTCACAAAAATTAATAATGCGAGCATCATAGCTTTATTCTAATTAGTTAAGGTTCTTAAGCTATTTTTTAACTCTACTTTAAAAAATCATTATATTAATGGTTCATTGAGCTAAACAATTGCATTAACCAATTCATTTTTACTGATTTCTCACTGATAAAAATGTAGCCTTTTTTTTTTAATGGGGGAAGATCATCTGGCTCATTTTAATAAAAGAAATATGAGGAATATTTTATCCTTACTATGTTACATAATTTTGGAATAGTATCTTTATAAGCCCACCACCTAAAGGTCTCCCAATATTTGAGTAGCATAGTTTAGCAGCATGTACAATTCCTACTGATGGCATCCAAGATGCTTCTTCATATTTGGCTTCAGTAAAACTTTCATCCTGCATCTTTAGTTGCATTAATGACAAGATTCTCCTAGACCACGGGCTGCAGGGACGCTATGAACACTGTTGCTGTTTTTAATCTCTGCTCCTGTAATCAAAGGAGTACCTTTTTTACTGGAGCCTCTCTTGAGAGAAAAATGTTTTTTCAACAATTTTATTTGCTCTGAGTGTAACTGTTCAGGCACCACTGATGTGGGCACTAAAGTACATCTTCATTCAGTCATGACAAGACAGGTAATCGTATAAAACTGCAGTTTCAGCAGAAAACTTTAAAATGAACTCTTTGCCATTAGAATCAAATGGGTAGAAGGACGTCCATCCACCTTAGACACAACTGAAAATCCCGTGCCACAGAATAATAAACAGTGAGTGACTTGAGTGCTGTCAGTGCTGCATGTGGAATACTAAATATGCTGAAGGAATCTCCGTTGTATAGCTTTCTGCTCTTATAGATTACGTAATCATTCCTAGCTATGTTTGCTGTGGATAGTTGAATGATTTACTACTTAATATCAGCTTTCTCTCTCTTGTTTCTAGCCCCTTGTGAAGCCAACACATTCTTTTGCCACAGTAATATGTGTATTAATAATACATTGGTCTGCAATGGACTTCAGAATTGTGTGTATCCTTGGGATGAAAACCACTGCAAAGGTAATGTGTAGAATTATAATTTTCAAGTTATCAGGCTGCATGAGATATGGAATCATTACCCTAAGTATGTTGTTAAATGTGTGCCGGATGGGTAAAAGCTAAGAAAGAGTAAATCTGGGACAGCATACATCAAGCAATGGAGAAAATGAGGAGAGGTGGAAATACCGATGGATTTTGCTTTCAAGGTTTGCATTTGTTTTGCTTGGTGTTGATTTGATTTGATTATGTCCTCCTGGTAGGTTTTCTGACGGCTTGGTCTCTGTTTGTTGTACAGTCTGAAATATAATTAAAAAGCATCTTTTGGTTTCTTTGTCATAGTTAACTTTGTAGTGGAATAGCGTGTGGATAGCAGGTGTGTTTTAGCTACATGCCGTGCCCATAATAGCACTACTAAAAAACACAGGTGAAGTGACACTACCAAAAGCAGCCAAATCCACCTAAAATCCTCCAGTGAAGCTGAAGTGCAGAGAATAAGCGCAGGAAATCAGACATAATGTCTGTTTTGTAAGTAGGCACTGATCTTCCCAACCAGGTGTTGATAGTGGTTTCCAAATATTGCTCCGTATTTCTGAAAAAAAATCAGCATCTGCGTTTTTTTCAGAAAGAGCTTAAATAACTTGCATTACAGGCTAGGGAGACTGTTCACTCCCCCCTGCCCCTCCCCGCCCGCTACTGCAGATTTGTTCCTGGAAAAATAGGATATTCCAAATTTAGGAACCAATCAAGAAAAAATCTGAGAATGAGGTGGATTAGTAGTCAGCCCATAAGTCTACTGAAGCCTGTAAAATCCTGACAAATAATGTGATGGAATAAAACGTAAATGAAATCATACTTCAGAAGAACACAACAAACCCGTGACACAGAATAATATTCTTCAGAAAAGCTAAGCATACAATTGGGAAAGAATTATCTGATCTCCACTTCTTCAGCAAAGACGAAAACAGAAGCCCTTAGCCTTTCTTTAATTTCCAGAATGATGTTCATCTTTCATTTACCAATTATCTTTCCTATTGGGTCCTGTGCATTTATCTGTTCTTATATTTCTTATTAAAAAAAATTAGGTCTGCCAGTTCCCACAAAAAAGCTGTTTGCTGCTCTGCTGGTTTTTGTAAATAGGATATTCCCCCCGAGTCCTTGTCAGACAGTTAGAGAAACCCCAAATGAAACAACCAGTTTAGGCTATGGGGAGTACTGAAAAGTTCACTTTTGGTATCTAGAAGATTACAGAGAGATGGAAGCCAATGTTTTGATGCAAATAAATTTCACTTCAAAAGCTTCTTATTAAGTCCTTTCATATGTTTTCGGTTGCCAGAAAAATTATGCTAAACTGGGAGTTGGAATTCAATCACAGTTGCCAGTCTTGACTGATGCCAATGCTTTCAGCTTGGTTTTCTACAAGGCTCAGTCACCATCTCATGTAACTGCAGCCATTTGAAAGCAATCACAGAGAAATATGCAGAACAGTAGAGTGCAACTGCATTTCCTTTGTAGTATTTTCCTGCATATTTTCTGATTTTCTTCCTTCTCAGTACTGAATTTCTTGGCTCACTTCCTACCAGCCCCTGGGTAAAGGATAGTGCATAGGATCAGCTTCTGGATTTTGACTATGGGTGTTTTGAAAAGTTCTTGTAATTAATAGATCTTAATCCAAATGAATAACTTGCAAACAATTTCTTTTTCTTTCTGAAACCTCAGTTAGAACAACTCTATTTTATCCTATTTTAGCTTTTTTATTGAATAGTGCCAACGGCCCCAGTCAGTTAATATTAGGAGTTCAGAGAACTTTCCAATACAAAGAAGAATTTCATTTTTAAATCCTGTAAACTCTTGCTCTTTCACTGATTTTATTTTCCTAGCTGCATATATTTACTGGAAGAGGCGGAAAGTAAAGAAGAAAACTTGTGTAACGGTCTTGGGGGCTTTAGCAGGCAAATGGAGTTGATAGGTGATGTTAAAACCTCAGTTTGTTACGTTGATTGCTTTTTGTAAAGTACCTAAATAATCCTTTCATCTGATTAAGCTTGTAATGCATTATTCCAAGAGAAAAGGCTGTAGCAATTATGTGTTTTTTATTTGGTTTTCCTGACTACCTGATTTTTTCCCAAGTGAGACTGATTAAATGAACTCAGATATAGACTAGACATGATTTTGTAGTAAGCTGTGCACTTATCATGACTGTGTTCATTCTTGAACTGACAATTAATGCTCTGCTTTTTTCTTCTGTCACACAGAAAAAAGGAAAGCTAACCTATTGGACCAACTTACCAATACCAGTGGGACTATAATTGGGGTGACCTCTTGCATTGTGATCATCCTCATTGTTATCTCTGTTATTGTACAAATCAAGCAGCCTCGTAAAAAATTTGTCCAAAAGAAAACAGACTTTGATCAAACAGTGTTCCAGGAGGTGTTTGAGCCTCCTCACTATGAGTTATGCACCCTTAGAGGGACAGGGCCTACTGCTGACCTTGCTGATGTTGCAGATGACTTTGAAAATTATCATAAACTGCGGAGATCATCTTCAAAATGCATTCATGACCATCACTGTGGATCACAACTGTCTAGCACTAAGGGCAGCCGTAGTAACCTCAGCACAAGAGATGCTTCTGTCTTGACAGAAATACAACCCCAGCCTGTAAAACCCCTCATTCAGCCCGTGAACAGGAGAAATATCCTTGTCATGAAGCATAGCTACTCACAAGATGCTGCAGATGCGTGCGAGATAGATGAAATTGAAGAGGTACCAACCACAAGTCACAGGCTGTCGAGACATGATAAAGCTGTCCAGCGGTCAGTATCAATAGATTTTTGATGAAGACTATTGTGTAAGGACTTGATTGCTCAGACATATTCACTCTTTATTAAGTAAAAACATATTCTCTTTCTGCTCTGTTTATGGTTTAAGTTTCTATTTCCTGATAGCATGTACCATTATATTAGCTCTCTCTTCCTTTGTCTCTCCTGTCTCTGCCCCAGTTGCCTGAAAACTTCTGTATCTCAGTTTTTGCCTTTCTACTTTATATTTTTCTTTTTCTTTTACTATTTTATACATATACCCCTGCACATGCACACACAGGTCAACAGCGAACAGGTAACAATTTTAAAAACTAAAGATTTCATGTGAATCTAGTTTTTGAAAGAGCTACATCCATGTGGTTTCCTTGCAACTAAGAGGTGGCTTTGAGTACCATCCACTATTGGTCCAACATATCAAAATCAATACATCAATAAAAAATACATTTATCCATTTTGATGCATTGCACAATAATGAGAAACATTATCCTGGGATAAGGAAACTCCTTTCCCTATGAAACATTATTTTCTACATAATGAACGTCATTGTTTGCAAAACTTTACTGTATCTGTTCTATTATTAACCACAATATCTCAGCTTGTGAAATTAACATGCATATATATATATATATTATATATATGTATCATTTAAAATATGAGAAAATACAGTGAATAGAGAATACTCATATATTTACATATAAGAATGTAGTTAAAAGGAATCTTTCTAATCAATGAAAAAGCAGACCTCTGTGATATTTTTAATACAAGACCTATTTCTACTGTATATTTCACTTTAAATGCCTGTAAGTAAGAATGATTAAAAGTTTACAAGTAAAAGAAAAAGAAACACAGAAACAATTATAAACCATTTGTTTGAAAAAGAATGCTCAGCAACTTTACATATATATTTTTGTGTTTTCTCTTGCATGCATTATTTATGCACTTCTTACGACTGTTTACGTGCCGTCCATATTTTTCTTGCACATTAAGGCATTTCTATCTCTTAAAGAAAGTAGTTATTTGATTATTTTAATCCAATTGCATGCCAATATGAGTTACTTCATGAATGTTAATCAGATTATCAAGGTGTACTGTTTGTTAAGTATCTATATGCATATATTTCTTTTTTCTATGCAAACATTATTATGTTGAATGAAATAGCCATAACATTCCAGGTTCTGCCTCATTGGGTCTCTAAGCAAACATGAATCTGAGTACAACACAACTAGGGTCTAAGAGAAAAACCTGAGGTAAGTAACAATACCTAAACAACAAATAAGCCATCTCTTGCACTCCATTTTCTTTGTTATATTGTTAAAATGTCTGTTAGTTCTCAGGTTATATGCTACCTTGTATAAGTCTTTGCGTGAAGAGAGGCAGATTTGAATATAGATGACCACTTTAACTTTATAAACTAAGAAAATTCTATTAAATTCTTATTCCTGAAAGTAATCATCCCATAGCTATATATAATCTGCATTCTAAATATATTATAAAGACCGATGCTTTGCATGGCTCTGGTGTTCCATTTATTTTTTATTTATGAAAATAAAAGTTAGAATCCCAGCATGTGAAAATGTGCGTAAAACTTAGAAATCTAACCCAAGTTTTAAAGATGGGGAACTATTTGTTTTCAGTTCATTTTATCCATTCAGCGTTGTGGAGTGTTGGGGGAGGGTGTGTCAAAGTGCTGCTAACTTCAGTGACTCTCTAGTACTAATGTTACAATTTGCAAACTACACTTCATTTTCATTGAATTTTCCTAGTGTCTTTATTTTTGCATAATTTGTACAAAACAATCAACATCATTTAATCTGAATAAATATAATTTCCAGTTTTTTATAGTGAAGTTATAGATAGCTGAGTCTGACAATTTATTTCTCTCTATAAGCATAGATATGTGAATATGCATGTTTATATGTGTACATACATGTTTATATGTGTATATACGTATATAGCAATGTTACTGGGAGAAAATATATAAATGTTTTTATTGTTTCTAGGTAGTTTAGATAAATATCTGTCTGTATTTTTCTTTATAGAGAAAACACATTTTAACTTTGTTTTGCTTTCAGAGAAGAACTATTTATACAATCATGGGAACTGTGAATGGAAAAATCTATAGTGAACTATTTCAGCTGTTTGAAAGAGAGAGTGGACATGTTCCTAAATTCATTCCACTGCCTTTATCCAAACCTAAGAATTACAGACATTTTTTACTTCCTCAACAAGATATTCCCATTGCACAATAATATATTTCTTTTGTAATTTCGTTGCTGGCCACCAAGTGCTCCTTAGTTTTTAAATACATTTTGAGATTTGCTGGAAACTTGAAGAAGTTGTTAGTTCCTGACTGAAACTGTCCCAGCTTCTTGTTGTTGTTGTTGTTGTTGTTGTTGTTATTGTAGTTTAATTTCAGTTGCTATGTTTTATGTCTTTTGTTATCTACTTGTATGTTGTGTGACATGTGAAAGAAGATTTACATTGAACTTTTGTTATATGTACATTGTTTTCATTATATAGACTGCTTGAGAATAGTGCGCTCCTGGGTGATTTTGAACATGCTACAGTGAAATGTGAAACTATCGACCTTGGAAACACCAGCTAGAGGTTTTATGGACTCTCTGACCAGCTATTCTCATATCATGACAAAATTCAGCAAACAGTGTTGACTAAAATTACTAGAAGGCAATAAGACTTTGGTTATTATGCTTATCAGTTATTTCTCTTTTTCTTTTTTCTCTCTTCCTTCTTTTGGTTGCAAGTAAAAATCCCAATTTCAGGAACAATTTATTGAAATCAGGTATTTAGCCATTCATAATCGTATCAATAGAAATGTTCGTTGGATAAGCATCTAGCAATATGACTGAACTTGACACTGAGAAATTAATCTGCATGTATGTTATTGAATATTTGAGTTGGCAAAACCCCTTTATTAGACACATTGTAAAAAGCATGCATTCACAATTATTGCTGTTACTGTTCCATTTCTGTGTCATATGCTTGCTACTTGTAACTTTTTATATAAAGATACATAAAACAATGTATAATAATTTCTTACCTTGAGTTTAATGACAATGCTTTCTTTTACTAAATATACAAAACCTGTTGTATAATTCATTATTTTAAACTCAAAGTTTAGATTTTAGCAATTTAAAACCTAGATACCTCAGATTCCTGAGAATCAGTTCTTTGATCCCTTACTTATTAACAAAATACAAGAATTTCTTAAGATTTAAATGAATTCATAATACATAAAGATGATCACCTAATTTCAATGAAATTGATTTTAAAAGATAAGTGATAACCTTTATGTTCATTTTGCACTCTTAACTAACTTATTTTCATGGCAGCCATTAGGAGCTTTGCTGCAGTGTAGCATAAAATTAGATTGTTATCAGTTATACAAATGTGGTGGCTAAACTCCAATTTTAGAGGTACAGATATACAATACTCTTTTCACTTGCAAGATAACTTACCGCTCATAATTCAGGTCATACATGTTAGTAACCAACATTTAAATCGAACCTGAGCGGTTAGTTTTTCAAGGAAATATTGTAGACTGGAAAGCTGCAAGATTACTTAACATTAAAAAAATATTCTATTTAAGACCTCAATAATCATGTATAAAATCATAATTTGTTTACTAGTTCAGAGTTTACCTTCTAAATTCTGTCTCAAAACAAATCCCAATTCCTTCTTAAACAAATTGTGTCATTCATGATTTTTCTTTTTTTTTCTGTATTACTGCTATGTTTTCCTGCAAAAGTGGGAAGAATTCCATGGATCTTCCCAGAATATAAATAGATTGAAAAAAGAGAACACCTGAAAGGCTAGCATAAAAAGTAAAGTCGTTTATACCAGCTCTTTAAATATATGTACATAAGTACAAATAATCACATAATTACAAATAATTACATAAATACAAATACAGGAAATCTGATTTCTACAAAACATCTACAAAATTGATTTAGGAACGACATGAGGAGAAAAAGGATTTCAGGTGTTTTGCCTCCTTTTGATTCACTATATCTGTAATGTATTTTACGTAATCTAATTCTAGCTTGATTTTTTTTTTTCTTTTTATCACTTATTGGCTGTGAATCCCAGCCCTGCATCCTCTGTAGTCACTGAGACTCAATTCCATCTCGACTCTACGGATTTTTACCATGTGCTAATAGGTCATTTCCAAATCAGTTTGTTTCCAAGTTCAGATACTTTATTACCATTTTTTTCCTAATCCTTCGTGGTCCTATTTTAAGATCGATTCTTAAGCATAGTATGATAAGATTTGTGCCAGGCCCATGCTCAAATAATTTGCATTATAAAATCAAGTAAGGGAGAATGAAAGATATGCTAAAAAAAAAAAAAATGCACACACACAAGTGCACACACACACACACACGCACACACATACACATTTATATATATTTATGAATATTTGCTAATAGAAATAGTGAATAAATAAATATATAAGGTGAAATCTAAACATGGGAATTTAGCTATTGATCAAATGCTAAAGGCAAATGCTGAAGCCTTGAATTTCAAAGCTGCTATATATCTAAGTGCCTAAATACCACTGAAATATAGAGAAGTCTAGTTCCTACTAGACATGCACACTGAAATCTATTTTATGATTTTTCCAGAGAAGAATAAGATAACTAAACTAGAGTAAATATGGGTATATATCTGTGTTGCATTCACATCCTTACTTTCTTAAATATGAACCAATTTCATCAGGGAAAATCAGTGAGATACATTAAAAACTCTGTAAACTGAGAAAGAGAATGCTTACTTGTTTACTGAATCTTGAAAATTCCTTGATAAAAATATTTTCTAAGAGATAGGTATACCCTTAAACAAAGATACAATTAAAAACAACAAAATATCTCTCTTACAGGATAATATGATCAAATTATAAAATTATCTAGCCAAGAAAAAAATTTTTAAAACTAGTCAAAATATTATAATTGAAAGATTTAATTTTAAGAAACTATAAACTGTATGTGGTTGGTCTGTAATAAAGCAGTTCACAGTACTACAAAAAGTGAAGATAACTTGTATGTGACGCCACAAATTTGTAGGATATTTTAATACGATCTATAAAACTCAAAACATTAAAATTAAAAGGAGTGGAACTCTTCCTGAAAGTAAGTATTTTGACTTTGTTATGGGTTTTTATTATTATGAAACCCCATTTTTTAAAAAAGAAAACCATTCAAGCAAGTTTTTCAATTAGCTACACTTGTACAGAGTACAAGTGAAAATTTCCCTATCATATTAACCATTTTCCATTTCTTAACATACATTTCTTACATTAGTAGGTTAATGTGGGTTAGCTGAGCTGCAACTGTTAGCTTCATGCATTTTACCTCCTATTTGTCTTAAGCTAAGGCTGAGAACGGCAGTTACTGGAGCATTTTTGTTTGATCAGTGCAATGTATGTGATGTATAGCTATGTCCTCAGTATGCTTAATTGTTATACAAGTATATTTTTAAAAACTGGATTTTTGTTATCACAATGCATTGCCATACTGTTCAGAGTTTTGCTTTCTTTTCTCTCTTTCTTTTTTTTTTTTCTTTCTCCCACAGTTGTAGGGTTATGTATTTACTTTTCCTTTTCGATGATAGTGTGAACAAATGGTCCTACCCATCTTTCTCCCCTCTGGAGAATACGGCCTTTTCCGTTTGTGAAGTTTGGTCTGCAGCATCCTTTAAAAATGCCACAAAGTCCTTTTTTAATCTATCCCACTGTAAACCTTTCAATCTTTCCCCAATCCTGAAAGCAGCGTGAAGAAAAGAAGTGGCTCTGAGAAATGTTAATACCTCATCCTTCTATTTTCTCCATTTTTCTACCAGAGATATTAATTCTAAAACCTGATAAGGATGTAACAAATGGTAAAATAACTATTTCAGAGCTCACTACTATGTCAATAAGCGGGAATAAGAGAAAGTAGAAAGGTTTCCCGCTATAAAGAAATTACTAACACCAAAATAGGCAGAGACAAAGAAAAGAAACAGAGTGAGGTATGATAATTAGAGTAAGAGGAGGGTTTCTTATGCCCATTCATAAATTTGTAGACATATTTGGGACAGCTACATTCTTCAGCTACCAAATAAAAATGTATTGCCCACCTTCAAAAGAGAGTTGTTCTTCCTCTGCCTTACAGGAATACTGTCCTGCAAACAAGAAACTGGTTCTCTGTCTCTTGCTTGTCCTCTGCTTTTTTTACGTGGCATATCCCTGCTACTACACAGCAATACTCCAGCTCAGGGAGCAGAATCACAGAGCTAAATGGTATAAAGATAGAAAACTGCACAGTTCTGGACTCTTTTTAACATTGAACATTGTATCTGATTTTGGAGTCTCTTATCTCCTCGCTCCTGACTCAGCATTTGATGCGAAGTCCTGCACTCTTCTCTCTTCTTATCATTGCTTTAGCATCAGCTCTACCCTCTGATGATCATTCTCTGTCTATTTTTCTGCAGCCTTTCATTTCTATCCACAGTGATTTTTCTCCTGTACCCCTCTCTCCCCTAAATTAATTGAAAATGTGGAAATCCTATCAGCTCACTGGCCTTATGTTCCCAGTTCTTCTTTTTGCATTCCCCTGTTCTTCCTTGTAGATCACTTTAGAGCAACTTAACCTTACCTTGTCTATAAACAGCAGACTGAAAATATGTGATTGCAGCATATGTCAGCTACCGTAAACTTATACAGCACAATAAAACTATGGAGACGTATTGGCATGAAGTGGAGTACAGGCTTATTGGAGATACTGGATTTATATCTTAATGATTGTGCATCAGGGTTGTCTGTGCCGTCTGCCTTTGGGCTAGTTTCTGCTATAGTCATACCTCAAAGCGCTGCAAAGAGAAATTCATGTCCACTGCTTCCCTTCTCCTGGTAATACCTGCACCATTTTTAAATCAAGTTTTATTTCAAGTACTCTATGTTTTCTCCTACGCTGTACTTGTACTAGTACCTCCTTTCACATGATGTAAATCACTTTCTTATCTTCTTTCATGCACCTTTTAAAAAAAAACAACATTTGTGCTGTATAGCCTGGCATACACCTGCCATGGCTAGACACAGCTGTCTTGGGCAAGGTGAGACCATCAGCTTCCAGAGGAAGCAGGAGTTGCTGCTTTCCCTCCGTTTTCTTTCCCAGGAGAAGGAACCCTGCTTGTTTGCAAACTCCCAGCACCACCATAGGAAAAAAGGGAAGCACCTTGCCCTTCAAGCAAAAAACTGTTACTAGGAGTAGAGTTACAACCCAGCAGCCCATGCTAAAAAAAGGAAGGACCGAGACTGCTCAGATTTCATTACCGAAGGAGCAAGCCTGACCAACAGCACCAAGCAGCATTGCATTCCTACACTCTTACATAAGGGAGGCTGAAGTGCGAACCTGCTTCATCCCAGGGGGCAGGACATCACAACCGTGAGTACTGACTATATGCAGGGCTCTAGCAGTGATTGAATAGCTATCTGCATAAGCGTAAGCAGGCAAGGACCTCCCTGGGACTGTAGGTGTATTCTAGGGCAGCCCTGGTGGCCTGGTCTGCAATACCTACTTAATTAGTCCCGGTAAGTTTACCATTCTTCAGCCCATCCTCCTCGGCTCTAGTGAGAGCCATAGTAAACACATTTAACTAATAAAATGGTGATTTCATTGGAAGATGATTACCTGATATTTATTTAACTGTGAGGGGATGTGAGAAGGAACAGTGGCTCTTCTTGCAGGTATTATAAAAAAAAAAAAAGTAGGGGTTTTTGCGCTGACCCTAGATGCAGGCATCTGGTTAAATGAACTGTTCACCTGCATCAACTGCCTCTGTAACCAAAGATGACTTCCATCTGAAGTCGTCCTAAGAAAACTGTAGGCCCTGATTCAATCTCCTATTCACATTATCCATCTAGATCTTGATGTTTTTTGAGTTCAGCGAAAATTACAACTAGTAAAAAAATCAGTTTATTGGAAGTGAATGGTATATTTGCTGTCTTAATGAAGCACAGAATAAAATTTACATCGGAGAAAGCTGACTTCATTCCTACGTCCTTCCTTAGTGCTGAAGGACTTTGAAAGGCCAGTGAAGATATAGGTGAGCTGCTCTTTGCCTTTTCTTGAAAAGTCAGTGTTTCAAAGCACACTGAAATGCTTTGCTCCTAACTAACCCCTTTAGGGTAGAGAAGGAAGTAAAACAATAAAAAAGAGAGCCATAAACCTAAAGTAAGTGTATTTTTTCCGGTGAAAAATGCAGCAATAATATTTTTAATAGTTACAAGACTAGCAGCACAAGTTACAGTACATACCTGATCCCAACCCCCATCTTGTAATAAATTTATCATAAAATGCAGCTCAGCTGAAGAACATAAACACTTTCATATTTATATAGCAGTTTAACAACCTAAACTAACATTTAATACCCTGTAACAAAGAGATGATATCCTTTATTTTGGGGCAGATGTTTCAAATACAACTGATTTTGTTCTGATTTTCAGAGTTAGTTTCTGTGTTTTGTGTTTTCCTTACTAATGGAAGAAATTTTTAATTGATTTCCAGCTTTTTCACGCCCACATTCTACTGACTGTTGTGATGTGCCACTTAAATCTTCGTAGAAAACACCCATCGGGTGTTTTTGCTTGATATTCTGAGCATATCTGACACCTACTTGGTATTGAAACAGTACATTACAGCTTTGCCTGCAGGACGAATTTCTTCAAGTGATCTATGTTTCATGAAGATGACCCAGGCTCGGAGAGTTGTGCTTTCATTTGAGGGTAACTTAGCGACGTTAAGGATCTTATTAAGTTTTAGTAGGTTGGTGGAAAGTCTCAACTAACCTAGGCAAATATGGAACAGTTTGAGTTAGCTAGTAATATCTTAAATCTTGTTAGAAATAGTGTTACTGTGGAGTCGAAAATAAAGTTGATGACTGAAAAAAGAGTGAGATCAATGTGGGAAACTTTCAGTTCAGAGCAGTAAGGAGTGAGGACTTTGAGACTTTATTATTATAAGTGCTAGGGTTTTCAAATCAGATTTTTGCTCCTTAAAGTTAGCCAAAATTCTTAGTTTTATCCTCTCTCCTTTTTTATGCAAATTTTTTGCTGTATGTATGTCTATTGAATGAACTTCCCTTTTGTGGTTCCGTAGCACTATTTTGGTGGGGGCCCAAGAGGAAAAATATTTGTTGTGATATCGTGTAATACATGACATTTTAAAAAATGCTGTTAGATGCTGTTAGAGTTTAACTGAATGTGCTGCTGCAACGTGATTAGATCCAAGATGCATAAAAACCAAAATAGAAGAGTACTCTGGAAGCTCTGCATGATTTTAGTTCTCTCAGATTTTATTACTCAGCTGGCTTTGATTAAAAGATAGAAATCTCAACAGGCATAAACTTTTATGGAAATCTCAACAGAGACTTAAACTTTATATAGCATAAACTCTTAAACACACATCTGTTTGGAGTACAAGGAGGAAAGAGGAGAACATTCAGAAACTGTTCTAATGGCCTGAGAAAACTGGTGGTTCTTGTAGCTCTTAGAATTAATCAAACAGACTGTATTTGCTCCTTTCTGTAGAATCTGTGCATCATGCTGAAGAAAATATTTGAAAAGCAGGTGTAAAATGCAGGTGTAAATTACAGTCTTTAAGAAGTAAGAGAAGTAGAGTGAAACTGCTAAAAAGTACAATATGTGATTCAGTAGCAAGTAAATACTACCATGAAATACTGCAAAACTTAATATCTCCCTTTATTTTCCTTACTATAAAGTGTATACTTTCAAGCCACTATACTAAGTCACTAGGAAAATTCTTGTCTTACTAAGGCTGTTTTGGATAATCCTTGAATCAGGATCTTGTCATTTATTCTATGAAGGTAGGCTTCACCCTTCATTGCTGCTGACGGTAAAGGTGGATGATCCAAAGAGATGATCTTTATGTTTTAGCTAGTCCTGCTGTCATTTTTGGTAGCACTGCAGATCCTATCTCCTGCTATAATGATAATAGTAGAAGACAGTGAGTGATGGAAAAATGTGTGTAGTTAAGCCTTAATCATAATTATATCTAAATTAACTATATTATCTATATTCATTCTGCATCTTAAGAGTCTAAGTTGAAAGATTAGGATAGCTAATTTAGTTTAAAATATATCTTATTATCTTGTGTGGATTTTTGTTTATGGTTCTTCCCACATATTTATTGATAAGTACCTATCTTAAAGACTTCTTGCTGAATGCCATGGCTCAGATGAAATTTATGTTGAGCATGAAGCTCTAAAGATCTAGGACTAGTTTTTCCTGAACGTTACCAAGGCTCTTACAGGCTTCAGACATCTCAGGAACTCTTATCCAGTTTGTGGCTGACTTTTGTCAGTGATGAGTACCAGCTGGGTCAGAAGAGAGAAGAATAAAATTACATCTGAAGAATACTAAAATATTTCCTTAATGTGAAAAACAAGCTATGAGTAGTATAGAAACATGGATCCCCCTAATATTAGGGGAGAAAAAATTCTAATGGTCCAACCTCCTAGGTTTATGCTGTAGATCTGTTTCCCCCATATGAAAACAGTTCTAACTACCCTCAGTTTCAGAATAGAAGCAAGAGGAAATGGCAAGCAAAGAAGGCTGCTAAGAAAAAAAAAATCCAGAAATCCAACAGTGGTAAGTAAAAAAAAAATGTACACTTACGCATATGCTTAATGTAGAGCATACCACGGAAAGGAGCCACTTCTGTTCCAATTTGAGAATTTGCAAATCTTCTAACAAACTTATTGAGTTTTTTTAGACTTGGAGCAGACATTGGCTACTAACATTTTAATTAAGTTTTGTTTCATGTAGTTCTACGAATTATGAACTGTCTAAACTCCTAAGTACTCTTGAAAGCTGTTAGAAAAATAGTCTGACACTCTCCTTTGCTCTATGTATTTTATAAATCTGTTAGAAGCAGGAACTGTGCTATAGATTTCCTGTAGCGCCTAGCAAAACATCCTTATGCGCAAATGTGGCATTCAGCCAGTACTGTAATTACAATAAGTTATTTGAAGGAGAAAAATGCAATGATGTAAGGCCACATTCAAGGACTCAACCCATAAAACCGTAGAAAGTGACCTTTAAGAGAAAAGGCAGTGCAGAATTACTTCTGAAGAGATGAATTTGTCTTTTTTCATATGCTGATGTCTAAACTGATAATAACCATTGTGAAGGTGAGAGGGAGAACAAAAGCGTAATCAATATATTTTCTTTCATGATAATGGTAATGCTTGTCGCAACATCTACAGTTTGAGTGATGGAGTGTTTGGGGAGAATTCTGCATTGATACATGCTTTCATCAAAATGTGTAATCTTGATGCTTACACAAGCTTCCTTGTTATTAAAGTTTCATAAAGTTCATAAGTCCAATAAACATGATATGAGAATTTTATAGCATTTTGCATTTGTTGTTTTCAGCAGGAGGTAAATTCTAGATTAAAAATTAAAAATTTGCAGGAAGATCAAGACTGAACAAAAGTCATGAATCTCCCTCTAAATCATGCGTATAACAGAGTTTAATACAAGCTAATTTGTAAAAATGTGGTGAATGTGCAATCAGTTTTATAATATGGCGTGCTTTCTGTCACTTAGTATGCATACCTCCCAGATGCATGAATACTTCAGCATGAATACAAGGGCTTACATGTCCCCAGACAGCAATAAGCAGTCCTCAAATTGCTGAAAACTGCAAATGTTCCCAAGCTAATGCTGAAAGTGTTTGGACTGATATTTGCCCACAGAAGTTGGTCTGAGAAATACAAAGAAAGTTTTTAATTTATTTCCAGAACATTTTATGCTTGGCATTACAAAATGTATTTCAACTACTCTGATGATGAACATAAACTTTAAAGATTTATCAGTCCACTTGCTGAGTATGCTGGTAGTGTTTTATTCTGGGGAAAAAAGTCATGCAGTTAAAATGTCATGATACTTAGAAAACATCTGTTCTACCAGATCATGACTAAAGACACTCAGCACTTACTTTGTTTGTGTTTTGTTATTGTTTTTTATGGCTTTTTATCTCTCTTAATGAATGTTTAAAGCTATTAGTCAAAGTACATAATGTATCGAAGCAGGATCCTGCTGCAAAAAGATCTTGAGTGAGATGGACCTTCAATGAAATAAATATAGCAGAAGCCAAAGGGACTGGTGGGTGTCTGGCACTTTACCAAACCTGTGCCACTCTGGGGAGAGTAGTGTGGGATATGGCCTAATCTGAAAAGCTTCTAGAGGTCTGCTGTTCCCTTTAATCTTACTCTACATCAGAAGCCAAACCCCTGTAAAGTCCTTCTGCTGTAAAAAGACTTCTCTTGCTGCCACCAGGAGAACATGAGATGTCCAGATTCAAGAGCTCTCTTTGACAGTATTTCGCTTTGCTAGCATCTGACAGCATTAATTTTTGTGAAG